TGATAACTAAATGCAACATATAATCTCGAATTGGATCTTGAAACTAGAAAGAAAGATTTGAATATTGACTGTGGTATGAGGTGATAATATTGTGTTAATGTTTGGGTTGTCTACTTTTGACTCCTGTGATTATTTTAGAGAATATTCTTATTCTTGGTTTTTCCTGGACCAAGCATTTAGATTCATTGCTCCAGAGCAAGGAGTGAGTTTGCAGGAATGAGAAAGATTGTTGAAAGTCAAAATTGTTTTGGAAAACCTGACCTGGCATTTATTGTCAGTTTTACTATGAGATAAGTTCTCTACTAAGCATAGGTGGGTTGGGACCTGGGGGGTCAGTCTCATGGACTTTAGGGGATTACTTATCCTTCAGCAGAAAAAAAATTAAAGTTCTAGTTAGACTAATGTAGAAACACTCTTTTTTGTCTATCTGAAGCTATTGTTACCTTCTAAGAGTGTTCTGGTTTCCTGTTACTTAAACTTTGCAATAAAATTCTGATGTTGTACAACTGATTTTCCTTGTCAGATGTAGTGCTGTAAACACAAATGAAGCATTAAGGTCTCTCTCTGAAAAACAAAAACAAAAACAAAAAGCAGACACTAAGAAAATAAGTTTTTGTTCTCTTGGAAATAAGAAAAGGGAGTCCAGAAGGTTCTTTTCTGTCACCCTTTCTATATGTGAACAGAAAACTATCAGAGGGTACCATTGTCATCAGAATACAAGTGTAGATGTTTCAGTAACTTGTCAGTATTGCAGAATGTCATTCACTATCTGGACCTCAGACCTTGGAGAAATCTCAGGGTCAGAGCAAACCCTGTCCACTTTGGTAAAAATCTGTAAAAGAGAGAACTTCGGCAAAGTGGATGTGCATCAGAGAACCCATCCATGCTTAGAAGAAGGCTCCGAAGCTTGCTGAAACTCCAGTGCCATTAAGTGTAAGTCTGTTAACAGCCTGGGTGACAGACCATTGCTATTATTGAGGTAGCAGGCCAGTGCGTGGTCTCTCAGTTTATTGTGCTGATGGTCCATTAGAGCTGATCAATTGTTAATCCGGGTGCCACTGACCTCTCCACAACCCTGTCAGAGGACTGTTTTTATCAAGAAAGTCTCAGATATCATCTGCTCACTGTGCAGTAATGCTGAGGAGGACCCTGAACTGTTAGCACAGGAAGAACAGAGGGAGTAGAAGTCTGTTTCCTACAGAAAAAAAAAAAAAAAGTGTTTTTGTGAAATTTCCTAAATGATGTAGTTTAAAGTTTCATAGGTCTTAGCTTCCTTGTTCCCCAAACAGAAAAGAGGTGATATATCTACTTCCCTCTCATTTTATTTTAAAAAAAATTTTTATTGTTCATTTATTTACATGTACGTACATTGTTTGGCTCATTTTCCCTCTCACTTTAGATGGAAGTCTTTGCATGATTGCAAATTCAAATGTTTTAAAAGTGAAGAATTTGTCAGTCATCAAAAGTTATCAAAAATAAAAAGTTATGCCTTCTTTATTGTCAAGATTTAAAAAAGATCTTAAAGTGATTTTGTGAGCAGGACTCCATTTCTAAGTTTTTAGATATTACAAAGTACCCATATATATGATAAACACTTAACCCAGATATAAATTTTCCTTTAAAAAAAACTCAGTTATGCTTTTGAATAATAAAAAAATTCACTGGAGAGGAGGTGGGATGGGAAAAACACCAAACAGTTTAGGAAAAGTCACACCGTGCACCTTTCACAGGTAACTACGCACCCTGGAGTTCACCCTTCACATTGCTTCCCACCTCCCTGCCCCCCATAAGTCATATCAAAATTAGAGCAGAGTTGGCTTAAAAAAAACACTGAAATTTACAATATGGTGATTAGTTTTTAAAAGGAGAAAAGCTTTGAGAGGGAGAAGCCACAAATCAAGCTTGAAAAAGCAAAATCCTTTGTTTCTCTTTGGCAACAACAATAACAAAAACTCTTTTTAGTTAAATGAAGCCAAAGCTTTCTCTACACGAGAGCCAACATATACCATGCTTGTTAGTATGGAGGCTATGTGTGTGTGAGAGAAACCTCTGGGTAATATAAATTAGAAGTAATTGAAGGCGGGGAAGAAAAGTCTTATAAAATTTAAGAACATTTTCATTGACAGCAAAACGGAGCAGGTAAAACAACTGTGTATTTTAAAAATAAGGATAATACAGTGAGCATTTCAGAAAAAGGCCACTGCTTGGTGACCTGGGCAAATCAGCCAGGTAAGTACATCTTGTAAGAAGTGTGCTGGTGTTAGAAATACCTAGTTGCAAAAACAGATGTAGAGTGAAGCTGGTGGGATGGCATCAGCAGGGGCATGGCCGGCAAAAGGCCCTGGCTCAGGTGGCCTGGTCCAGGGCTCTGAGGAGGTCCCCTCCTTGCAGGAGTGTGGAGGTTCCTGGCACAGGGACGTTCACCTCACAGTCATATCTGGTCAGTTCAGGCAGTAGATAGGGCTCGAATGAGGGACCCAGCAGTCGGCTTGCCATGCCTGGAAAAAGTATTAATGCCATATTTTAAAGACTTAAATCAAACATTAGCAAAGTGCCTATTCCTCTAGAGACCAGCAGGGATGAGGAGGGCATTTCTAGTTTTCAGGCTAGGGGGCAACCTTAATTTCCCTGAGCTCCTTCAATGTTTGTCTTTCCTGTGACTTTCTCAGAGGATGGGCCCAGGAGAGAACATGTCTTAGCAGTGCTGATATCCAAGGAAGAGGAAAGCAGACAGCAGCAGAGGCAGGGCCCTCACGAAAGCTATGGGAAGAGCTGGCTAGGCCTGGGCTTGCCGGTCCCATGCCCACTGTGCATAGGTAGCAGAGATGAAAGGCTGAATGGGGAAGAAGGAATTCAGAACCACGTGGTACATGTGCACCTGGGTCCTCCAAGATTTAAGGGCCTGGAGATACCATTCTGCTTGCCACACTCCTTCTACCCCTAAGCCATTCTCTAGCTGCCTAACAGGAAGGAAAGGCTCAGGTGCTAGAGAACAGCAATCCATGCCGCTTGTTGGGATGAACTGTTTTCTTTTCCCTTGGCTTACCTATAAAACCTCACTCCTGGTGGCCTCTTTTTTTCTGGTCTTCCTAATCCAGGCCTTCCTGGGATCCATGCCAGGATGGTATCAAGAGATATTTGCTAATCATTCCTTGTTTATTTCCCCTCTTCTTTTATCCATAGTCAGAAATGATATGAGTTGAAAAGATGGTTCTCCCTTGATTGTGGCATTCAAGGAATACCACATACAGGAAGGACAACACTGACTACCCAGACTGATACCAGTTACCCAGTTCAATGCAACACATGCTAATCTCTTGCTGGAGCTTCCTGTCTTGCCCACTATCCCACTGGTAAACAGCAGAAGTAGAGTTTAAGCCCAGGGTTGTCTGGGGTTCTATAGCCTGAGCTTTGAGCATGAAACTATTAATTTTCCCCAAACTATACTACTGAGGACAAGGGCCTGGTATGTCTTTCCAAAACCACAAATTATTTCATGCTAAACAGAAACCTTTTCATGAAGACATCTATATTTCGGTGGCTGTAGCTGAACCTTCCAGAAGACAAAGTCCAATGGCCTCTCCCAGAGCTCCAGGTCACCCTCCCGGCAGTGTGCCCTCTGTGCATATGCTCAGTTCAGCTCCTGCCTGGCCTCAGCGCCATGCCCCTGGTGTGCCAGGGGGCTTTAGGCAATACTGCAAGGTGAGGAATGGAGTAAAAGACACACACTCTGCGACTCTTAGGAATAGCAAGAGTCCTGGAGGTGACCTGCTCCTTGGAGGGTTCCTTCTAAAGCAGGGTGGACAGATGGCCTTCCAGCCCCACTGTGATATTTCTGGGGAGGGGGAGATTACTATCCCTTTCTGTGGCAGCAAGCTTGTCTGTGTTCAGAGCCAAGATTAGTCACCTTGTGATGCCCATCTTCTGGTCCTCCCATCCTGACTTGGCACCTCCTCTCTTCAACAATCCCTAACATATAGCCGTGGACTCCTCGCCACGCCAGCAACCCCCTTTCTTCTGAACACACACTCCTGATGGTCCTTAGCCTTCAGTTTGCAGAACAGCATAATGTTCCTGGGGACTGACACAGTCTCCAGTTCTTCAATGATTTTTGGCTGGGTTTTAGACATACCCCATGACGAACCTGATTGGTCAGAAGAAACTTTGGAGAGGTGACCTGAGCCCTAGAAGGTGCTCTTTGGGCAAGTAAGTGCCAAGCACTGTGCAGGTGCTGGGAAAAAGGAGAGGTGGTCTTAGCCCTAGGGAAGCCAGCCCTAGGGTGGGCTGAGGAATCCTATGGGCAGTACTGACCAGGATGCCTGGGTACTGGGCAGGGACTCTTTAAAGGCAATGGTTTTAAGTCTGGAGCTTTTCCAAACATGGAGCTGCTGTGTGAGGACGGCTGCCTCTCAGCTCTCTGCTCTTCAGGCCTCCCACCTATTTTGGGCCCTGGGATGTAGCATCAGCTCTCAAGCACATACCTGATACCTTGTGAGCTGATGGCTTGCTGTAGTCCTGGTACTGGGAGGCGTAGCACTGCCGGGAGAACCCACTCTTGGCGTTCTCCCCAGGGCTCATGGCAGATGGCGGCTGGGGTGGGGGCAGGTGTCTCAGAGGCTGGCCCAGGCCTCTCATGGGGTTCTGGGTGAACTCATCTGAAAGATTAAGGCCTGAGAGTGAGTGTGATGGCACAAAACTGAGGGGACAGGCTGTGAAGTCCCCAGCCTCCCTTTCCTTCACAAAAATCATGCAGAGCCTGAGACCTCAGAGCCCAGAGATTTCTGATGTTCTAACAAGGCTCAGGAAGCCAGTGCATGGAGGAGACAGGATGGACACTGAGGAGTCTCCAGCCCTCCACCAGACCCTGGGACCCGGCCTGCTCACCGGGGGGAACATTTGCACTCAGGGACTTGTCAGGCATCAAAGGGCAGGTCCCGCCCCGGAAGCTCTTCATGCGTTTCCACATCAAATGTGAGCTGCTGCCACTGCCTGGAGGATCCCCCTGCATGTGGGAAGGGCAGATATAGGGAGAGGGCCAGCATGCTACCTCCTGAGCCCAGGCTGCACTTGGAGGTACTCCCAGCATGCACATTTTCTTTGGCCCTACCTCCCACCAGCCTGTCAATGAGTTCCCAGGCAGGAGATGGCTCACCCCACTTGTGTCCTGGAAGGCTTGTTCCTCATACTCCAACTGTCGCTTTAGCTTCAGCTTGTTGGAGAGGGCTATCATAGCTGGGCTCATCACATCTGGGCCCCGAGGCCCGAAGTCCTTTGCAGACCTGCCAAACCCAAGACATTGGGGTGAAGGATTCTGGAGCGCCTTCCTCTGAACCCAACAATTACAACTAGGGTGACTCACAGACTCAGAGGGCAGAGAGTCAGAGCGGGGCTATGCACCTGGAGACTGACCTGTAGCTCTACTTCAGTTTCCTCTACCTGGTGAGATGCTGAATGGTTCAAGCCTCCTGTCCTTTCCTCCACATGCTTGTCCACCTTGGCATGCCTAGGTAGCTCATAGTCCTGTCCTGGTGTGTGGTTGCCCTGCTAGGTGACATCAGTCTCTAGGAGGGTTTCTTTTGCCTCTGTCTCCTCCTACCCTAGCCCTGACTGTTCTTCACTGCTCCCCACTGAGGACCAGCTGGGGTACTCTGTAAAGGGCATATATCCCATAGTGGTCTAGCCAATGAGCCTGGGAGCTCCCTGTCCTATACCAACCACTGTGACTTAGCCTAGTGAACTCTCAGCTGGTTGAAATGGGAAGAGGCTGAGGATAGGTGGGAAGGCAATGCTGGGGCCTATGCATGGCCCTCAGAGGGAACCCTGAGATAGGAACCCTAAACACCTTTTCGCTTTTCAGAACCAGGGTTCCCTGAGACAACTGAGAAAATTGTCACTCAAATAATTGCCTGTATTGGGTAGCCTATAGAGAGACAACAGAGTTCACAGCTCTTAGCAGGCCACTTTTCTCCTTGCCTATGCTCAGTCCCTTGTGACCTCCTCCAGCCCTGTGGACACTGGTACTGCTCAAAACTGAACTCTCAGAGTTCAGAGAGGGCTCCATGGAGCACCAGGTGCCTGTGGAGTGGGAGAAGGGAATGGGGCAGGGAGCCTATCCGTCCCATCCCCACCCAGCATGGCCCCTGCAATACAGCCAAGTGACTCTGCCACTGACCTCATCTTGAACATGGAAACATGGGGCGAGGTAATGGGGGGTCCCAATGGTGATGTCCCCAAGGACTCCGTGTGCGGCTGATCCCCAATAGGCCACTTTGTGGGCCCAAAATGTAATGGTGGATCTGGAGGCCACTGTGTGTTGGATCTGCCCCCCATGGAAGAGAGAGGGGTGCTGGCCTGGCCACAGCATGGTGGTAGTGACCCCTTGCTTCCAGCATCAAAGAAGATGGAGGACATGGGCCAATGCTCCGGCTCCATCTTCTTGCTCCCCAACTGCTGCTGGTACTTGTCCAAGAGGAAGGGGCTGTGAGAGGCCACAGGGGCCAGTGGCTGGAAGATGCTGGTCATGGCACTGAAGCAGTGCTGGGGGGTGGGCTGTGGGCTCTCTGGCAAACGCGGCTCCTCTGGGCAGATAGGGCTTAGCTGGAAGTCTTCTCCATCCATGGGGATGTAGGGTGCTAGAGTCTCCAAGTCCAGCTCATTGAAATCCGTCTGAAGAGGGACACAGTCAGGGCAGAAAGGCTGAGTGGATGACACCCCTTCAGCCCAGCCCAGAGCCATTCATCTCAAGCACAGCTCCCCAGGGCTATACCTTGCTCAAACCAAACTACACCCTGTGAACTACCAGCAAACAGTTGGCCATCTAAGTGTGCAAGGCCTTCTGTCAGGGGACATTGACCTTTCTGTGCACTTGTCCTCTTCAGTCTCCACCAATGTCACTTCTGTGCCCAAGCTGGATGCCTTCCTCTATTATACTTGTCCAAAATGCCCTGCCTCCTCTAGCTCCAGTGGCTGCCCCTTTCAGAGCCCACTGTGGGAGACAGAGGGCAGTTTGTTTTCCCCTCCCTCATAGGCCTAGACATACAGTAAGTGCCCATGGTATGTGTATGGACTCTTGTAGAGTATACAGTTGGCCTCCAGTGGCAGAGGGACTTCTGTTCCAAGCAAAAGGTACTTGGAGACCACACTCAGGGTCACAATGTCGTGATGTGCACCACTGAGAATACTCTCAAGAGGATGCAGAAAACACAGCTTCTATCTTCAGAGCCCTCACCCTCATGGGACAGAGCTATTTCCCAACAATTATGGGAAACAGCATAGACAGGTCATCTTAAGTACTAAGAAATTTGACAGAGAAGTGCTGAAATAGTTAGGAAAGGCATTGTAGAACAGCTGGAGGAAGGTGGAAACTAGATGAAGAACTAAGACAGATGTGGTGCATGATTTTCCCTGGGGTTCTATGAAACACCCACCCATCCACCCCCTCACCCGTTACGCTGTTTGCGCAAGATCATGTGGCTTTATGGAATAAATGTGCTCCCAAGAAGGACATTTGTAAGCACATTTGTAAATCAAATATCGTTCATTTTAAATAAAATAATTATTTAAAAAATTCCAAAGTGAATGGGTTTATGAAGGGAGTAACCATCCCACAAGTTCAGGAATGTTTTATGAATTTGGATATGATTTTTTTAAGAGGAGGAATTTCTTAAGGAAATGTCCACAAAGACCATTATCCAAGTATACAGAAGATAAACAAGTTGAGAGTTAAACACAGAGGTGCAGCAAAATTGACCAGGGGCAAGAGTGGGAGAAAGGCAACCACAGACCCTCTGTTCCCTCCCCTTCAGCAAAGGTATGAATAGTAGGCACATGTGCCACCCTGGTCTGCTATGCGGCCACTTACCTGTGTGCTACACTGGTCCTTTGCCTCTGTGTCCATGGCAAAGAGCTTCTCAATCACTTCAATTTTCAGGTCATCCTCCAGAGAAGAGTAGTAGTCTCCAGGGCTGCTGGGCTGGGGGCCAGGAAGCAGGGGATGAGTCAAGGACCATGGCACTCTTCTTCCCAGAAGTCCAATGTGGAAGAGAAACACGCAGCTGGACCCATTTAGCTCCATTCCACCAAGTATTTGTAGAGGGGCTACTATATATATATATATATATATATATAGTATATATATAATATGTATTTTTTTTTTGATGATACTGGAGGTTGAACTCAGGTCTCACACCTGGTAAACCGGTGCTCTACCACTTGAGCTATGCCCCCAGCCAGAGGGGGTACTATGTATGAGCTGTATGACTTAGGCCTATTCCTCAAGTTCTCTGAACCTCAGTCTCTTCATCATAAAGTAAGGCTCTTATCACTTCCCACACGTCTTGAGGAGCAAACAGGATAAAGGATCTGTCCTTTATCCTCTGCCTATACAGGCTTATGCCCTGCACAAGGACCATGCAAGATGCTTACAGCTCTTTCAGGAATTCCCACTCTGATGGGAGTGGGAGATGGATACTAAAAGCCACCAAATGGCTCTGATTCCTGGCAGGTGAGTGTCCAGGCCATACTCAGGGCTTTGCAATAAATTTGCCCAAACTGTCCCTTCAGTAGGAGGAGCCTACCCTTACCATGTCCTTGCCCAGAGGGTGGGAGGCTCACCGTGGAGCAGCTGCTGTTGCTTGTGGCACTGGGTGTGGTGCTTCCTGGGGTGGCCCCCTGGGGTACGGTGAAGGCAGGCAGGCTCCCAGCCTCCTTCTGGGCACTGTGACTCCTCAGCTCCGCAGACCATGGCTGGGCAGGGGGCAGGATGGGCTTGCCATAGGCTGAAGACTCCTCGAAGCTCTGGTTTCCTGTGGAGACAAGGGGCTGCTTGGTGAATATCCAGACCACTAAGTTCCCCCATGGCAGAGGAAGCCCATAAGTTGTAGGAAAGGTTTTAAGAGGGCTAAAAGCATGCCTGGGGCTTTGTTGGGACCTACGTGCCTTTGGCCAAAGCTGTGATTCAATGTATGGACTCCCTGTGAAGGGAGACTTTTCCTAGAATGTTTGATTTTCAGAGACTAAACTTATTAGAGCTACCTTTTCCTGAAGAGTGATCCAGAATGTAAAAGGAGTTACGAGAGGAGAGAGGCCATTTGCCTCAATACTGCCATGAAACAGGGGGCCCAACATGTCTTGTTTCTGATTCTCTGAATGTTGATTCTCATGTGGTCTAAAAGGGACAGTGATTCTTCCAGAAGTCACAGCAAGGCCAGAGGAGGATGTCCAACTAGGGAGGGGGGGCTTCCCAGGTGCACTTCAAGGATGTCTCCAGGATGGGTAAAGGCTTTGTGGGGACCACAGTGACTTGCATCCCAGCAAGACTTAGCAAATGTTTCAAAGAAGATAGGCATTTGAGGGCTTAAACCTGGGTCTGTTTTCTGAAATGACCTCTCCCATTGTTCCAACCTAGTCCTCTAACTAAATAAGAAGGCTGTCCTTTGAGATCCAGGAGGAAATCTGCCCTTTCTCTAGGACAAGTCCACATGGCCTTGAAGCAGACCCCTTCCCTCCCTTTCAGCAAAGAGTTTCGTTGCCAGGTGGAGAAAGGACCCCTCAGGAGGGAGTCCTCTTCTGACCCACCTCCTTTGGGCAGCTTTGGGATGGTCTTACTCAGTAGATAGGGCATATGTGGGGTTTTTGTTTTTTGTTCTTTTTGTGCCCAGCAGACCTATCTACTAACAGGTGGTTAGTAAGATATGGGGATGGATCAGGCAGAAGTGTGGCTAGAGAAGTCTGTTATGGTAAGAACTGTCCCTAGAGCCAAGAGGGTTCCATGGACCCAGCTAGGCTAGGAAGCACTGACCGAAATCCAGAGAGATGATGGCATCCCCAGGGGTTGGGGCCAGTTGGGCCAGCTCCTCGGGTTCCTCCTTCAGCTTGGTGAACAGGAAGTTACTCTTATCAGATACAGCCACCTCACCACCATTGTCAAAGATGTTGTTCATGGCCATCAGGTGGGGTTTGAACAGGGATTCAGTCTGGTCCATGGAGAACACCACGTCGTTCTTCTCAATCTCACTAATGGGACAAGAGAGCCGTTCAGACTTTCTGCGTTATCTGGCTCCCAGACACATAGAAATCCTGACAGCCAAGCTGCTCAGACAAAAAGATGGGCAGGACCATTGTGTTGGCACCTTGTAAGGAGCCACACAACGGAAGTCTGTGGGTGATGGAGGAAGAGACTGTGAGAGCATCCTCTGCATATGGGCCTGTTTTGATTGTTCTTCATAACTGCGCTGGAGCTGGCAGTGCTCATAAGACCAGGATGCTTTGCCCGTGTTTGCTTCACCATGGCAATACTGCTTTGATGGTCTTCCCAGGGGTGGTGGAGGAAAGGTGTGACACTTGCTTTTCCCAGAAAGCACAAGCAGTTCTCTCACCTGTTTCCCCAATCCAGAAAATATGAAGTGACTACTGGGTGCTACTTGCCTTCCCACAGTTAGAGACATGGCACAGTGACAGATAAGGGGGAAGGGGCAGAAGAAATTCCAAGGATCTCCCTGTTTCTGAGCTCTCCAGGCAAAGACTGCAAATTACTCCTAGATGCAGTGCCCAGGGTTCTGAGATGCTCACAGTTCTCAGGCACCCCTGCACCCTTTCCCTAGTGTCTCACCTCAGAACATAGTTGACACACATGATGCACTGAGGCTGCAGGTTTCGAGGGTTGTAGATGACCGTCCCCTGGGTCTCCAGCCACACATAGCCTCCGTGTTTCGCAAGCATCCGGTACTGACCACTCACTACCTGTCCCTTGGTACACACTAGGAGAGGAGAAAATGGAGCCTGAGGTCAGAGAGTTAGGGGAGCCAGAGACCCCACAGGGAGAGCAGTCTGCAGAGGGTGGCCAGAACTGGGCATGGGACAGTGAGGACAGGGAAAGAAGTGTACGTGAGAGAACTTAGAGAACATCTTAGTCAACTGTTTATTTTAAACAGAAGAAAAGGAGGTTAAGGAAGGGTATGTGACCTGCCCACAGCTGCACAGCAAGGGAGCAACCTGCTCACCGTGTAGCTTTGCAGTGGCCTGTCACCAGCCTAGCTCAGCTGCAAGCAGAAGCAAGAGTGGCAGAAGCCCTCTTTCCTCATGGGGTTCAGTGACAGGAGGCCCTCCTCCTCCTCCGTTTCAGTTGCTGGGGGCTCACCAACACCTTGGAGAAAGCTTGACCTCAGGGCTGCACTGTGCAGCAGATCTGTCACCAATACCATGTTTGTGAGTAAACACAGTTTTTTTTTTTTTTTTTTTAATTGCTATCCTTGATTTTGTCAAGGTTGTCTGTTAGCACTGCCACCTTTGGTGCCAGAAAAGATTTGAGGCAAGCACACCATTTTCCAGCTGAGGACAAGCAAGGCCTGGGACCTCAGCAGCTTCCTTATAAGCTGTGATAAGATCTTTATACTTCTCTCAACTGCCCAGTGAGGCTGCCTCATTATGGCTTCTTCCCTCTTCCAGATTGTTCTAATTGCTTGTTTAAAATGTGTTTTTACAATCTGAAAACATTGTGGCAGGGGTCCCACATTCCAGATTGTCCTCTTCGCCAGTCCAGAACACTCTGGCTTCTTTCAATAAAAAGGAATCAACAAATCCCTTTACATTAAAGTCTACTAAGGTCAGAATTTCTGGTAGTTTTCACTACTGCCCATTTACTTTCAGTCCTTGGGAATTCATTGTTCAGAACTCCAGCTCAGAAACCTTTAAGTCACAGGGAACTGGGGAAAGTCATGATGGGAGGAAATCTTGATAGTTTGGGGACTTTGGGAGAGGAATACTCCTTAGTTTGTTTTCCTCTTTTGTATAATGGGGTATTGATAATAACTGTCACAATGATGACAACTGTATGGTACCCTGGGCACCACTGCTGTTTGTACTGAGGACCAGATGTACTTCGTGGCTTATCAACTGTACAAATGTTGTAGAGGAAAAGCCACCTCTTTCCCAAAACTACTAATGTGTGTAAGTGCTCAGGTCTCCAGACAGTTGTTATATATTTGTAGATAATGTCACCAAAGGCTCCAAGGGAGTCCAGGTTCTCTGAAAACAGTCTCCCGGTTTTTCTGGACCACCTCCCTCTTCCCCAGCCCTGCATGGGGAACAAGCTTGGTGCATAATAATGCTGACTGTAATCCTTTATGCTTATGTTTTACTTGGCACATTTTGCCCTCTTTAAAAATTCAGCAAGCACTTGCCGGGGGCAGGAATTACTGTAACTTACAAATGTAAAGTGCTCTGCAGTGTCCAAAACTGTCTCATGAGATAATTCATTTCTGCAATGCAAGCAGGTCACTGCTTGGCACAAAAAGCACTGAGGGGTAAGTGCCATTCTCACCTGACTACTCAATGCCATAAGCTATCTGTTTAGACTCTTGTCTCACATCTGGAGAACCTGCAGTCCAGGCAGATTCCCTTTTGCTTAAAACTGTTAGTGATTTGCTGAAAGGCTCCCTCGGTGGAAACAGGACACAGGATTACAGTCTCAATTAAAGATCCTATTCTAAGATTTGTTTGCGTTTTATTTATTTATTTTGGTGGTACTAGGGATTGAACTCAGGGCATTAAGCTTGCTAAGCAAGCACTCTACTGCTTCAGCCATCCCCCAGTCCTTTTGCTTTTAGGTAAAGTCTCACACTAACTTTGCCCAGGCCAGCCTCAGACTATGATCCTCCTAACTTGCCATCTCCTGAGTTATTGGGATTATAGGTATGCATCACCATGCCTGGCCCTTGCTTTTTGTTTTTTAAAATAAATTTTACTGAGGCTAATTTACCTTCAGTAAGAATGAACCTATTTTAAGCATACAGTGTAAAGAGTTTTGATAAATGCACCCACCTATGTAACTATCACCACTATGAAGGCATAGAACTCTTCTGTTGTCCCCAAATTTCTTATGCTTTCTCTCAGTCAATCCCCCTTCTCACCTCAAGTTCCAGACAATCACTGTCTTTTTTGGTCACTGTGTATTGTCCTTTCTATATTTTCACATAAGTAGAATCATGCAAGAGTATGTACTCTTTTGTGTCTGGCTTCATTATAGGCAGAATGTTTGAGATTTACCATGTTGTCACAGGTATTCATGGTTCATATCTTTTCATTGCCGAGTAGTATTCTATTGTATGGATGTATCATAATTAGTTTATACATTAACCTGGCTATTTGAGTTTTTAGTTTTCGGTTATGAGTAAAGTTGCTGTAGAGATTTGCATACAAATCATTGTATGGATATATTTTCATTTCTCATGAGTGCAATTAGAAATGTAATTGCTAAGTATATATTTACATTATCAGAAAGTATCAATTATTTGCAAAGGGTTTGAATCATTCTAATCTAATCTTTTAAACAAAATCCTGTGCTGTAGGGAGGATAGATATCATAATATTTTAATATGAGGAAACTAAGGCCAAAAAAGCTGATAACTTGCTTCACATCACACAGGATAATAGTGACACAGGCTGGACTAAACAACAGCTCTTGTGAGTCCTAGGACATTACCTTGAGCCAAAAATGGGCAGGAAGGTGGAATTTGCTGTTGCTATTGTCCTAAACCATCATGGACTCCTTGTCCAAAGGAGTAACTTTTCTCTTTCTTGCTTTCTGTTCCTCTGTGCCACTGATACTCCCCTGCTGAAAGTAAAATGATTCTTGCATAATTTTCAAGTGCCTGGAGTTAACTTATTTAGATGGTTCTTAATGCAAACCAAATTCAGGGCTCTTCTTCTTTTTGATTAAACAGTTCAGCAAGCAAGGCTTTAACTGCATTTCTAGTAATTGCAGACAAAGGCCTGTTCTGTCAGTAGAACATAATTCACACCAGCTTTCCAATCATCTGCTCATTAATGCCAGCCTTGGTGAAGGGCCTGCTACTTGGTTAGGGAGATAGGGTTTTTATGGCCTTTAATCTTGTTTTCCTAAGAGCACATAATGTCCTCATACAACAAAGTGAAGCCACCCCCAGCCCCCCTCTGAGAGTAACAATGTATAAATTATTAATCCATTTAGAAATGATGGCTTTCAATTATCTAAATCTGGTTGAGGACTGAGCTTCCCCAGGCATTTCAATGGGAAACGTTTACAGGCTGAGACACCACACATACATGGGTAAATCTGAGATGAAAGTGTGTAAACCTGGACCAGCCTCAACCTGAGCCTTCTGTTACTAGAGAAAGAAAAGGAGAGACTGAGTGGAGAGAAAGAGAGGGAGGGGCAGGGAGGGAGGGAAGGAGAGACAGAGAGATGGAAAGGCAGAGAGACCCAAGACCCACACCCTATTTCCAACCCATGCTGATTTCGCTTTGCTGCATGTGGACCTGCTGGTTGATCAAAGGGCTCTGAGCTTAGGGGAAGATTTACTTGGCTTCTTGGAAGAAGGAGCCTATGATTTTTTTTTACTGGGCTGTGAATAACTTTTAAGTGTGCTCAATGCTTAAATACAGATTGAGTACAAACAAAGCCAAAAAAAACCAAACCCAAAGAAAAAAAAACCAGCAGATTTTCCCTGGAATCAGAAGAAAACAGATACAACAAATTTTTACCCTAGTCCTTGTTATAGATCAAAGGAGTTCAAATGAGGAGGGGAGAGATCTTTTTTCTATGCCTGGTGAGAAGTCATGATTTTTGTTCCCTCTGACAGTAGCTTCTTCTGTCCCCTCCCCAGAACATAAAACACAATGCTGTCCTCCACAAATTCCCAGAAATGTTTTACATCCATTCCCTTTTTGGGCTTTCCCCTTGGCTTAGAAGGCTGGACTTTCCCACAATTTTACATGTAAAGGCAGAGAGGCCCAGAAAGCCAGGACCTGAGAAATCAGCAGGTCAGGTCATCTGGGTGAGAGCTGGGCCCTGAGTCCAGTGCCTGCATAGCTCTGCCAACCTGCCTTGGAAGCAGGAATCCCCCCAGGGTTCAGAAAAGCATGGGGAATCCCAAAGGAAAGGGTGGAGCCACATCCTATAATTCAAAGCTGGTTACATTCATGGGCTCACAAGAGTGCCTTGTCCTCTGTCCCTCATCCCTGGGTCCCTGAGTGGGGCTAGGTCTAGGTGGTTATGTTTATTCATTCATTAATGTTTTTGCCAGACAGCACAGTGACAAACTTCTCTGATTTATCATGATGGTCCCTGTTGTACTGTCAGATCAGATGAAACCCAAGAGTCACAAGAAGGAAACAAAGGGGCTAAGTACAAAAAGCTCTCATTCTTTAAGAGAGTGACTGTGCTTGCACACAGCTTATAGAGTTGCCAGTCTGTTCGCTGTGCTAAGCCTCAGATCTCCTGACCTTGAGATGGATGGATGTATTTAAGAACAATAGAAAAATACTCATACTTTCATCCCTTTGTTGCCAGGAGGGCCACTGAGAATCTTCTCAGACTCTACCCATTTGTAACCCTTCTATACTCCTCTCAGCACCCACTATGGACATTTTAGAAGCATCTTTTACCAAATACTGTTTTTGCCAGTGGGTTTATCATTCATTTAGTGCTCACACTGCACCAGATGTTGGGAGAGATACTGAGATAAAAGATATGAGCCACTTAGCTTCCAAGGAGCTCATAGACTTCTTTTCCCTCAGAAACAAGATCTCTTAGGGTACAAATTATGTCTACCAATTTCTATGGTCCCCAGTGGCCCCACTCTGAGCCTACAGGGTTATAGGCTCAGAGTCCTTGTGTGCTGGTGGTGTCTAATGACTTGAGGAAATTGTCTTGGATCACCAGCAAACGGAAACCTGAATTGGGAATCCGACCAAATGAACACTCTAGAACTGCCTTGTCCAATATGTAGCCACAAACCCAGTATGGCTAGTTAAATTTAAATTATTTTAAATTTAATTAAAAATTCAGTTCTTCTTTTGTACCAGCCACATTTCAAGTGTCGCACAGGCCTTATGTAGCTTATGCCGATGTACAGCCTTTCCATGGCACAAAGTTCTATTGGCTGACTCTGTTCTAGAATAAACAGATTTTTTTTCTCCCAGGTTATAGAGCAGATTTCCCATGTGCCAACACTTTGCTGCCTGGACAGCCTCCTCAGATGGGTTTTTTAAGATAGGGTCTTGGAATGTAGCCCAGGCTGGCCTGGAACTCATGATCCTTTTGCTTTAGTCTTCCAAGTTCTGCAATTACAGGCCTGTGCCACCACACCTGGCTTGGACAGCCTTCCTTCTTTAAAGTTACGTTAATCTGCCAAGCAAGCTCTGAGAGAACTGTGGCTGTTCAACACCTGTGTCAGGTGGGCCTCATTCTGTGTTTAGCCCCCTCCAGGTCTAAATCAAGTGTCCTTTGTTCTTTTCTTAGCTCCTCCATCTCTCCTATTCTATGCACAGGTGGGCTTTAGCAATAGCACAGACTCAAGGTGATTGTGTCCTGTCTTATATTATTCTCTACAGAGCTGCCCCAGAGGACTGGGCAGACTCTTGATTGTAAAAGAGTGCTCAGTGGAGGTGGAATGTGGGCTGAGGTTTAGTCTACCTTGCACTCCCCAAGCTCTGTGCCTTGGCCTGGGCCTGTCACTTTGGAGGAAGGATCCCTTTTCTAATTTTCCTGAAAGTGTATACAGGCTGGGGGCTGCCTTGGTTCTCTGACCATCTTGAACATATGGTTCTTATCTGACAACTCTGGGAGGGAAGTGACAGGTCTGTCTCATCAATCATACCCCACTCAAGGCCAGACTCCATGAACAGAAGGATGCCCATGAAACACTCCTGGAACTTACAGTTCTGGTGACTTTTGGTCATGTTCTCTGAGTCCAGTGCATGGTAGAACTCATAGGCAGAGCGGCCAAGTAACTCCTCAGGGTGGTAACCAATCAGTTCCGTGATTCTGAATTTAAAAGAAACCAGCTTGTGAAGAAGAAAGAACGTATGGAACTGGCAGGTGGACAAGTGTTCAAGAAGCTAGACTCAGATGACAAATAAAATGTACAAATTCGGATCCAGACCTCTTGGTCATACCATTCATTCAAGCACCAAACCATCACACTCAATCTGCAACTGTAGGTCTATCCAAATCACCATGGTTCCTGCCTGTCCTGAGGTCCTGAGAGGAAAGAAAAACACTTACTTAGAGGAACCACTGTTCCCCACCCCACTGCACACAATTGCCTGCTCTTCAAGAACCAGTGTGAAGAGTTCACACAGCTCAGTCCTGTAACTGTAGCTGAGGGGGTGAAAGTCCAGGAGGGAACACTGTCAGTTTCAAGTTCATACAAGTGTCCAGGAACAGAACAAGAACAAAACTGACCTTCTTGATTAGTAGCTCAAGCTCATTCTAGAAATATCATATCTATGGTGATATAAATGAAAAGTGGCAATTTTGTGGCCCAGGTTGGGAAGAGAGCAGAGTGAGGAGGAGATGGGCAGGAGAGCCAACTGCTAAAGCACTTCTCCTCAGATGCTTCTCCTCAGTTGCCCTGGAACATCAGGTGTGTTTTCCATGGCTGTTTCTACTTATCCCTCCTCATCTCCAGGAATGAGGGAGGGTGGGGGTGGCGAGGTTAGTGGGAAGAAAAACAAACCACAGTCCTCTCTGATAAATAGGCAGCTATGCCAGGACAGGGCATGGCTGGCCCAAATGTCACTATCTTCATTCTGTCCAGTGGCTGGTTTTGATGGAAAGTGAGCAGGAAAAAAGAAAATATGGAGAGCCATGAAGAATCTCCCAATCCTTAGGACCTTTGCTTTGTACTGGAAACATTGGAATGAGCAAACCCTGCCCAACAACCACCATACTGACACCTTCCCATGTCAGACCTAAATGTTATTCCTCAGTCTTTGCTATCTCACACATTTTTTCTCATGAGTTTATCGTCTTGTTTACTTGGCCTATCACAAGTTAGAACTGAGGCTAGAGGTTCATTATAACAGTCATAACTGAGAGCACATGCCTATGGGCATACAGCTGCCTGTGTCCACACTGGGTTAAGAACAGGACAGGAGGGCAGGAGCAGAAAGCAGAAGTGCTAGCTGCTCAGTTTGCTTCTCTGCTCTCAGTGCCCCTCCAAACAAGGTAACTGCACATATCTGTCAGACTTGACCCTCCTAAAGTACTGTTTCCATCCTGCCGTGCCCTATCCCTAGTTAAGCATCTCTAGTTTCCCTCTTGCCAATCACAATCAAGTGCTAACTGCCCAGTTTCTGGGTCCCCCACCCCCTAGAACCCAGTCTCCATTTTCAAGCAATGTGATCTTAGCTAACCTGCCACGTGCCACATGCCCTCTGCCCTGGTAGCCCACTCCACACACCTCCCCAGCTCTGGCAAGTTCACTCCTGCAGATGGTCTTTTGTGCTTCCCCTCCTGTCTCTTCTCCAAGTCCTGGCTCTTGCAGGGCAAGCTTGAGGCTTCACCTTCCACAGAACCTCTTTAATTCCTTCGGCTCTCACCACTACTCTTCATACAGTCCTATACAGCATGCACATATCACCAAGGAGGATGCATTTGTCTCTGCACAACCTATGCTGGGAGCCTATGCTGGCCCTGGACTCAGGTGGCTCTTTCTCTTCTTGCCTCCCCTAGAACTGGTGCTTAGGAAGTACCTGAGTGGTAGATTAATTTTCTCTAGATCTCAGGGATAACCAGAGTCCTATCTATCCCAGCACTACCAAGGAACCTGGTTGCTAATGATGTACTTTTCTTGAGTATAATTAACTGCCCAAATGTATTCTGGCACATGTGTGTACACACACACACACACACACACACACACACACTCACAGCCTCCAGCAACCCCTCAAGATCCTCAATCCAGTCTGTAAAGTATCTGGTATTGAATTGAGCAGAGAAGAGGCAAGTTCTCTGCCTGGATGAGACACTGGAGATCAAAGTATCTGTCAAACAAAGGGGAGCTCCACCAACCAAGAGGCTGAAGTCGCCACCAATTTAGTCCTGGGGAGAATTTTTCAGCAAGATGCCAGCAACCACCTGTGCCAGCCAGTTGATCTCATAGCATGTTTTCTCCCCTCAAAGAGATCTCTGAACTCACTGGCCAATGGACCTGTTCCCTGTAGCCTGACTCTGGAGCTGGTACCCAATAGCACCTCAGCTGAGGCAGAGATTGGTGGAGAAGGAGGTGATGGAATAGCACTGGCCCTGCAACCATATATCTTTTTTGTTGAGTCAAATACATCTTAAGTTTGGCCTGAGAATCAGAACTGTACTGGTGGCCCTGCTGACAACCAGCTGGCCATCTGCAGGCTGATTTGCCAGATAAACTGCTTCCATTTCTGGGCAGGTCTAGAATTTTCTAGCAATCCTCAATAATGAGTCTACAGGCATTCCAGGAAAAATTGATTCTATTTCCTGAAGGAATTAAATTTCCTTTCAAGATTAGGATCTTTAAATTAAAATGTTCAAAGTAAATATCATAATCATAATGAGATAATTTTTATCTAATTAACATATCAAAGGCACACAATGGACATGTTTTGGAAGTGCGCAAACAAACCTAGATTTCAAAATTGCCAGATATCTTCCCACTAGCAGCTTTCATTTATCTTGTCAACTAAAATAAATATTTAATGTCTCCTTCTTCATTCCTTTAAACAGACTACCATAAAAACTGGGAAATACACATATCCCAAACACAATTGAAGAACATTCGAGTTGTCAAACTTTACAAAGCCAGGAAACCCCAGCTTAAAGCGAATGGTCATTGGCCCCCATCTGCAGGCTTGTCGACGCCAGCAGGGAGGTTAACGAACCATCCTTGTTTATATGGTCGGACGATGGCACACAAGGGCCTTCCCCACTCATTTCCCTGGGCTTTGGACACACCAACAGAGCTGCACTGTGATAAGGATTGTGTCTGTGCTCTCCATCAGGGCAGGGAAACCATTTCTTTCTTTCTTCTTAATTAAGGACTCTTGACTCACTGGGAAAAAAAATCAGTTTGGGGCCAGCCATAAATTTAGAAGTTGATTCAGTAGGGTCGTTCTGCTTGAAGAAGAGAGAGAAATGTGTAAGAACTTAATTTATCTAATTTCAAAAAGGTGAAAGAAAGAGAAAGAAAAAAGTAGAAGAAAGATGAAAAGATGTGGACAAAGACAGGCAGCTACAAGGAGGCAGAGGAGGAAGGAAAAGAAAAATAGAAAACACAGAGAAAAAGGATTGTTTGGTTCTAAGTTAGTGTTACCCCAAGTCAATATGTGGGCCAGGCCTCTGGCTTTGGACTGCAGGTCAAACGGCCTATAAATTGTGAAATGAGTTATTCCTTGGCCTTCCATTGCTCTTTATCCTTACGAATGTCCGGAACTTCTGTTCAAAAGCGACTATCTTCAGTCGAGTGCTAGGAAGGAACTTATTCTCTCGGTGCTGTCCCCTCAAGAAGAAGAATCTAGTCACATCCTTCAAGAGGGCTCTTCTCCCCAGCCTGTGACCACTGCAGGCCGTCCTGGCACACAGCATGGTAGTCAAGCTCCTTGGCTTTGGATGCCACCGCCTGGGGACATTCAGGGTCCTGCTGCAGTTCTACACCTGTTTTCTACAGGAGTGAAAGATTTGCTAAGCAAATTAATCTCATAAACAAGCTGGTTGGAGAGCATTTAAACCAGTTAAGAGGGTAAAAGTTTTAAGTACTTCATTATCACCTATTTGTTTTCCAAAGAATGCATTTAAAAAAAATTTGGGCAGTATAAGAATTTGAACTCAGGGTCTTGTTCTTGCTAGGTAAGCACTCTACTGCCTCCAGCCCATAAAAGCAAAAAAGATAGTGTCTTGCATTCTTTTGCTTGGGACTGGCCTGGACTACGATCTACCTACCTACAACCTCCCACATAGTTGGGACCCCAGGTGTATGCCACAATTTGTTGAGATGGGGTCTCAAGTTTTTGCCCAGGCTGGCCTTGAACCATAATCTTCCTGATCTCTGCCTTCTGAGTAGCTGGGATTACAGCTGTGAACCACAATGCCCTGCTTCATTTGTTAATAAATACTTATATTAAAACCTGTTCTCTCCTTGCACCCTGCTGGCAACCTTTTCTTCATTTCATTTTGGTTTCTATACACGCTTATAAACTTTGACACTGCATTTCATTAATATACAGATTGTTCATTAACTCAGATTTCAATGCTTCTTCCTTTTAATGTATTTTTACCCAGATTTTGCTCACTTTCAATACATCCTTAAGCCTGTGTCTTCCTCAAGTATTTCCCAGTTATATAACCCTCTACCACCAGCCTTGTAGTTCATGGAAAATCAATTTCCATTCCGTCAGCGTGGCATTACAGAGTACTTAGAGGATGATCTTGTGAATAGGAAGGTAGCTCTGGCTCCATCCCAGACCAGTCCTGCTATAAGTGCCACCAAATGCTATGATGGTCTTTCATTACACCAAACCCACAAGTGTAAGAGGAAATGTTCCTTGAATTGTGAGTGAGAAGCAGATCATGGAGAAGGAATAATTTCTGAATTGTGAGTCTATTAACTTTGAAATAAGTTCCAAAGAGAACTTACAGAGTTGCCTCTTCCAGGGGTTATTTTGAGCATTTCTTAACTGTGGTTAGGGAAGATTCCAGAACACTGTCAGCTGAGTAGACACAAGTACACACTCTAAAGTTCCTTCTAACTCGGGGAGTCTAAAGAAACACAATACTCTTTTACTTAAGATGTGTAGGAAAGACTAATGTCCAGATCTGTAAAAATTTAGAATTGAGCACATATGAAAATAAAATGCATGTAATGTATTTCTGCACTCCTGAAAGATCGCCTTGAATTTAGAGATGCCATCTAACCTCTAAAAAGTAGCAAAGTAAATATATTGCATTAAATTTACTCAATGAACACAAATTTTCTTCCCTCACTTTTACCACCTTTTCTTTTTTTTTTTTATTATTCATATGTGCATACAAGGCTTGGTTCATTTCTCCCCCCTGCCCCCACCTTTTCTATTAAATAAAATAAATTCATTGTAAGACTTCTCCACAGAATTTGTAGCACAGTAATCATAACTTACTAAGCTGCAGCTCTTGGTTTTATTACATCCTATGCTGCCTTGATCCATTGGCAAAACAGGGTTGCCTTCAAACACTTCATCTGTAAAGATGAAATGATCTTATTTTAATTTAAAAATTTTACTGTAATTTTGATGCCTATTTTCCTTCTACCTTATCCACAAAGTTTGCATTTATAATTTATTTCTAAGACACAAGATGACTCCACAGAACTCACAAAGTCACAGTGCTAATTAAAACATGTGAATTAGAAAGACTGATCCAATCTCCTCCATGGCCTCCCTTCTGCCACTGTTACTCTCTTTCGCCACTAGATGGCACCTCCATATGAATTTAAGAACCACTCCATTTTAAAGCTAAACTACCTGAGAACAACTTGTCTTTCTCTTTGGTGAATGGAAAATATTCTATTTTATATATTATTTGTACATTCACTGATTCACTGTAGTTTCATTAAGTTGCTTATCTCTCAGACTCTAAACTGATGGAGTTCAGGAATCATCTCTTTTACTTCTTTGATATAAAAGTCTTGACACAGGATTAGATATATAATAGATACTCAATAAATATCAGTTCATGAATTGATTACTTAGTATTTTAAGTAACAAAGTTTTACACTTCTGTAAAACTCTATACTATATAAGTGGAGAAGATCATCAATTATACTGATAACCAAGACATTCTTTAACCTAGATACGAAACTTTTCTCTCCTGGTTCGGGGTCAGAACAGTCAGTTGTAAACAGACTGAACATCCCTAATCTGAAAATCTCACATCTAAATCCTCAAAAACTTTCAGATTTCAGAGCATTTTGGATTTTAGATTTCAGGTTAGTATGCTCAACCAATGGAGCCTATGCAAATATTCGAAAATTCAGTATTTCAGATAAAGGCTACTCAACCTGACATATAGGTTGTTACAGACATTAAAAATATTTACTGCCTCAAATAATAAGAGAACTTCATTCTGTCCTCTGATCCTTTATTAAGGAGAGAACAAATGCATTTAGAGCTATCTGCACTCCTTCATTCAATTTAAGATATATCATAATGGGTTGTCTCAGGTTCACTTATTGGGATCCTGAGAGTTCAACACAAGACAAGTCCTCTTTTTTCTCTTCTTCCTGCTATATCTCTTTGCTATCTTTTCCCTCTGTTCTCTTTTTCTCTATGACTCCTTTTTCTTTTTCTTTTTCTTTTGTTTGATTGTATCAAACTGCCTCAAAAGTGATTCTGATTGTCTGAGTTCTTCAGGTTCTTTCTAACTTTCCTTATGGGAAAACAATCATAGCTCCTCCTGTGACACGTGTCACTAAACCAAGTGAATTTTCTGATTAAAATGGGAGGGCCTGTCCCCTACTAGTTATCTTATATGGGTGTTCAGTTTTGAAGCAATTATCTCAGAAAGGTATTAAGGGGGAGGGGAGGAGAGACAGAGAGAGAGAGAGAGAGAGAGAGAGAATGTGTACACATGCACATATCTTTCCCCATCCCGATACAAAGAGTGAAAACAAGCTACCCCCACCCCTCAAAATCCATGTCCTCGTCAAAGCAATTGAAAAATAACACTTAGGGATTAAGGACTTAAAATAGTCACTTTGTAAACTGTCTAAGCCGTGTCTGTGCCCTTGTTAACTAATCTGCTAATCGGTTAAACACAACCTCTGTGTGGCATAGCATTCTGCATGGTTACGTGCCTCTACAGTCATTTCTCCAGCACCACTGAATTTGAGTTGGGGCCATGTAATTAGGTTCCTTGAAAGGCAAGATTTTGCTGAAAATGCAATGTGTCCTGCAGAACTTATAAGCAATATCTCCCTCTGCACTATGAGTCACAAAGCCCTAAATCACAGGTTCTTTTAAGACAATCTCTACTGTGCCTGATAGTCTTGAACCAAACTAAGAAGTTGGTGGGGTATTTCTCCTTACCTGTGTACATTTCCTCCTCAATCACCTTTAGATGCCCAATTTCTTGTGTTTTTTCCCCCTCTTCTCCTATCCAAAGGTTAGTGACTTAAGAAAATTACCTTAAACTCTTTCAAACCAAGATAATGAATAAGCAGATTAATACTGAATTATCTTTTCCAGGGGATTTTTCCCCTCACTTAACAATAATCAAACTTAAGCTTTTTAAAAAAAAAAAAAAACTCTTTTTGCTATTATCTAGGGATGGTGAGTAATTTTGAGGACAGAAGAGCTTGCCCCATGCTTGTGGAGTCCTGTGATGGCAGTGCTTCACTCACAGGGGACACCTCCAGCTTCCATCAACCCACAACACTAGCTGCTCCCAGGTTGCATGGCTAAGGTGTCCTGAGCACCACTTCACATCAAAGCCAGCAGCACTGGGACTTCCCAGGTCATCTCAGCAGACTACTGAGAGGGGTACACATCACAGAGTTATCTTCTGCCAAGAATGTTTATGTGAACACAAGGCCTGCAGGTGATAAATGATCTTATCCAGAACAGGGATTCCTCTTTCTCTCCAATTATCATCATTACAATGGCAGAAACAATAATAACAACTGTCATAAATGCTAACTGTTGAAGTTCTAGGAGAAAAATCTTCAAAATGACTTTCTCTTCCCACTTGGTTGTAGCATTTTTTCCTACTTATATAATTACCTACTACCTGCAAGAGCCTTGAGTCTTGGATTTACTGTGGTTGGAACTGGGGGGATAAGAATGTTTTAAAAATGCTTTTATAAAAGTTCTAAAATTGTGCCACAAGTGGTGGATAACTCCAAGAAGGGACCACTAGTCAACACTAGCCATGTCAGACTACAATCAGAGTGGAAGAAGTCTAACTCAGAAAGTAGGGCTGCACCCATGAAGAATCAGATGGCCCTGGAATGTCCAGATGGAAGAAAAAGGTGGTGGGCCTCAGGAAGGCTGGGCAGGAGCTCCCATCCTGGGGCTCAGAGGGGTTTCCTGCTGGCAAGGAAGACAAGGCAGCTTCTTGCTGGTGGTCTCTCCTCCCTCTGCCAGACTCTTGATATTCAGAAGTGATCTTGTCTCTTTGGGTGTAGTGGGGAATTTTGCTTTGGGGAAGTCAAGGACAGAAGTAAGATGGTAAGCAGTAGCCAGGAGCCTCACATGTGCTGTGGCACTGTGCTTTCCTGAGTGCTTTCATAGCCATGACAGCACCACACAATAAAGGTGAGACCAAGAACTAATGCTGAATATGCACTACTATATCAAGCCTAGGCTATCCAGCCCCAGCGCCCATGCTCTTAGCCACTAATGTGTCCCTTAAGAGAATTTCCAGTAGGCCGAGAATTAGTAGTTAAGAATCTGGCTTTGCTCCTTTCAACTGAAAGCCTTCAAAACAAGGATAGCCAATGGCCAGAATGCATCTACAAAGCAGGGACAAAGGCAGAGGGAAAAGCTCTGTCAATCATGGAAGGGAAGCCAGCCAGACATGGGTCAGTGTCCAGGCCAGATCCAATGCTCTAGGCTTGCCTATAAATTGAGAGTATGGACAGAAATCTCTAGACCCTTGTCTTCTGGAAATTTCCTCAGGAGCCTGATACATTGTGGAGAAATAGGTGCACACCACAATTATGACAACAGTCACACACCACAACAGCTCTGCACATAGACTCTGAGGCTGTATCAGTGAGAGACCATCAACTATGGTGCTTAGGGACCTCTGAGGTACACTGGTGAAATAAAACATGACACAGGCTCACAAACTTGTACCCAGCAAGGCAAGGCTTATGCTTCAGTACAGGTGTGTACACATGTGTGCATGCGCACACACACAAATCACCCTGCCCACAGCGCACATGCTGCACACTCTTGAACCCCTACCTGTCGTCGCAGTAGGTGAACTTCATGTCCATGCTGTGACGGCTCAGGAAGGTCTTGCTGTCCAGGGGGATGTCCATGTGCGATGGGTGCTGGATTGGCTCACACATGATGATGAGGCAGGACAGCAGAGGCTCCTTATAGCCACAAAGGCTACTGTGAGGAGGGCAGTTGTTGTAGACTTTCACCTGGCCGGTGCAGTGTAAGACCTGGGGACCAGCAAGAGAGGTCAGATATGGGGCCAAGAGGGTTGGGAACAAGGGCAGGGCTTTAGGCATCCACCTCTGCCATATCTGGGACTCCAACCCAGGCCTACCTTCCAGGTGGCTGACTTGAGGTTAACAGTTCGGCCTCTGTTGGTGACTGTGCACTTCATCCTCATGAAGAAGTCCCGCTCAGTGGACATGTCTTTGCTTTTCTTGCCAAAACCAGAGGCTGGATGGGGAAGGGTATGGGAACCAGTCAATATTTACATTTTACATTTTACAATATTACATTTACATTTACAAGAGAGGCCCAACTGCAGTGTTTCTGGGCAACTTCCTTTTTCTAAGAAAAGTTCCTTATTATTTGTACTTGTAATACCTGCAACTGCCATGGGTACCAAGCTCCATCATGGCCTATGGACTAATAGTTTCTCATCTCCAGCTTTTCTCCCCATTTGGAGCAAGAACACTTGAAAGGTAGGAGATGCCCCATCATTTGATTTCTCATTGCAACTAGTGCATAGTACTGTTACTCAATAGCATGGCAATGAGTGACTATGGCCACGGTCTCAGAAACATCTCCTGGGGCAGGCCTGGATTCTCTAGCAGTAAGTCCAGGATTCAGTCTAGGAGAGACCACAGTTACTCCAGGTGTTTTAGCCTCTTTGCTTTAGAACTGTCCTCAGACACACTGAGTTTTCTTTATAACCCATCTTTCAGGAAGTTGAACTCTTCACACCTTAATTTGCAACCTGTAATCATTACATTCAAGATATTATGCCATTAACTTTCTTCCTAAAGTGGCATATGTCAATGCTCAAAGAGATTGGGTGAGCAAGTCCATTTTGTAGGTGAACTCAACATGGATCATTTCTCCTCTGAGCCAGAACTAAATAAATCACGCTTGTTTAAAGTACGCTATATATAATCTCTGGAATATCACAATGAAACTCCCTTGTATTATTAATGTACGCTAATAAAAATAATAAATAAAATAAATCACCAAGAGTAACAAGATGTAGTCTTCCAATAGCCTGCCTATTTTCTACTTTTGTGAAACAGAAGTACCAGCTGAGCCCCTTTTGATGGTGCCTGAATTCTACCTGTTGTACCACCCTTATCCTGGGCCTTCCAAGGTCCACCCCTGCCCCTTTACCAGCATCACAGAACAATCTAGACCTTGCTTCAAATAGGAAAAGCCACAAGCATTTGCACCTAAACCTCCAAGAGGTTGATTTATTTGGTTGAAGAGTGGGGTATCAAGGGAACTGTGCTGCTCTTGAACTGAACTTAAACATCCTTTAGAGAGCCTACTGAGTGACAACCAAATAGTGACTATTTTTTGTTGTTGTTTTAAGGAGAAAATATTTCCATATGATAAAATCATTTCTCCCATACTTAATTATGCTTCTTACAATTTTAATTTTCATAAGTAGAGTTTGTATATAATGAGATATACCTGTATCTTGGGGGCCCCAGGAATTAGGGTTGAGTGAGCTGGAAAGACTCCTTTGTAACTGTTTATTTGGGTTGTTATTGTGAGCTTCTAACTTGTTAACCTCTGGATTGTCCCTATTATGACATTTGATTATTTTTTTCAAACATAACTTGAAGTTATGTTAACTCCTATTCAGAAACCTTTACTAGCTTCCTACATCTTATAGGATAAAATTTGAGATGCTCTAGTTGACCTTCAAAGCCATCCATAATCTGCCTCATAGCCTTATCTTCCTTTAGGAACTCACACTAATCCTATGCTTCTAGATCATGAGTCCACCACAAGCCGGCATCGTCAATGAGGGTTTACTGACTCATTGAGTTTGACTGAACCAAAAGATCTAAAGTTCTGTGCAGATAAGTAGAAGGCACTTGGCCATGAGTCATGGCATTTGAAAGCTGGAAGGTCCTAGACTTTGCCTAGTTTAATGCCATCAATTTAAAAAGAAAGACTCTAAGGAACACAACAGTGAGATACTTGGTTCAGTCAAAATGAGACTATGGTCAGTGCTTGAACTGAACCAAGAACCCAGGGCCAGTGGCTTCCTGGAGGAGAGAAGAAATAGGAGACACCTGCTTTAGAAAATGCTTCCAAAGATCTAGCAGCTCCTTGCCCTAGAACCAGTCACTCTACACAGCATGGACTTTCTCAGCAGCACAGGTCAAACATTACAGAGCTACATGGTGCTCTCTAGTCTATGGACTCCAGGAGTTAAGCAGTCGAGGCCTTTTGGTGGTGAGCAGAGGGGCTGGGTGGGAGATCAGGGATGGTAGTATTTGAAATGGCACTTGAGTGCAGGCCAGAGTGAGGACTGCAGACAGTATGTAACAAAATGAGGCAGTGAAGCATCCGATTTTGCAGCATGTGCAGTAACAAGAGCAAAACTGTGCACGGCTTGGTACTACTGCTTCTGTTACTCAGGTTGGATGAGCATACTACCCATGGCAGTGACAGGTGAAAGATAGTAAAAAGGTGTCTAGATGAGGGCAGAGTTTGCTTAGATAAGTGATAAGAGTCTCAGCTTCAAAAGGGATCTTCTGGTCATTGAGCCCCACTGCTGCCCAAAGCTTCAGTTCTCTTGACAATTAACTCCATTCATGCCTTTACTTGAATGCCCCCAGTTACAAAAGATGAAGCCCCACCATCAGTGCAAAGTGCCTTCTGCCTGTGAGGGTCCTCACATCTACTGGCATTGGCCGGATATCCCTATGGGTACAGCATGGTACATTAGACCTTTAAAAATTCCTTTTCTAGGTTAGATCAAAAAGAATTAACATAGAAGGTAACACACTCACAGGAAATCAATGTGAGTCAATGCCCTGTATAGCTATCCTTATCTCAACCAGCAAAAATCCTTGTTCCTTCCTATTATTGCTTATACTCTCTCTACAACAAAATTAGAAATAAGGGCAAAATAGTTTCTGCTGGGTATTGAGGGGGTGGGGGGAGAGGGAGGGGGCGGAGTGGGTGGTAAGGGAGGGGGTGGGGGTAGGGGGGAGAAATGACCCAAGCCTTGTATGCACATATGAATAATAAAGGGAAAAAAAAAATAAAAATTCCTTTTCTATCAAAACCTACCTGCCCTATGTCTTATCATCAGAGGCCCAGATTAATTCTCTGGGTCCTCCTTAGTCTCCAGTGGTAGGCCCAATAAGCCATGCCTCTTGTTTGTGGCCTTGGGTAGGTCCCTCCCACAATGAATCAGGGCTGGCCTATACATTGTTCTAACTAGTAAAATGGGGCAGAAGTGATGCTGTGGCAGTGTCAGGACTTGGCCTTGGGAAGGTCTGGCAGATTCCTCTTTTGTACTTTTGAGAGTCTTGGGCTGCTATGTAGGATGGCTATTCTGGAGGTGTGGAGAGGGCTACTGTGAGACTCCATGGAGTGAGAGAGAGGTGCAGCCACCTGCTTCCCAGCCACAGGCTCCAGACCTGTGTGTGAACCATCTTGATAATCCCAGCCTAGTCCAACCCCAAATGACTGCAGTCCAGCTCATATCACATGGAGCAAGAGTCCTGCCCACAGAACTCACAGAAACCCAAGAAAGAATCAAACGATTGCTTAAGCCCTGTGTTTTGGGTGGTTTGTTACACAGCAATAGACAAGTGCAACAGCTTCCATGAGTACTTTGTCACAGATGAGGTTATTGGTTTGGGTGGTGTCACTTGACAGAGATGTCTAGTCTTAGGTGACAAAACTTCCTAGACACAGGATCTAGACTTTAGAGCATGCCCTGGTAGTGTGACATTGGGTATCATGTGGGGCCAGCAGGAGCTATTTCTGAATTCCTTTGAGTGCCCTCAACCTCATCTCCCAGGCTACATACCCATAAGCAGGCCAGTGCCACTGAAGGTTTTTATGGAGGCCAGTTTTTCCTGGCATCATCATGGCCACGAATCATCTCTCCTGTGCTTGTAGATAAAGGGAAGACAGATCTGCTCCCAGGTGGAACAAGAGGATATAAACACATAGGAATGCCTTACCATTTTTGAGAGTCAGGTTCTCACGGATCTCCTCATGGTCACAGGGATGAGTAAAGTCAAAGATACTGTGTCCTGTTAGCTCTACCTGTTTCAAAAACAAAGTTAGACTTCACTATTTCTAACACTGAAGTGAAAGGCTCCAAGAGGAAGCTGAGCTACCTTCCAGTTTTGGAGATAGGGAGGAGATCAGATCAGATAATTCTTCTCAAAATTCCAGGCCAGTGTTAGGTCCAAAGACATATGGATGTACTAGAGGACTATTGCTGGTGATAGGGCTTGATTCATGAGGGTTGTCCTGTTAATCTATTCAGGAGAAAGCTGCCCATCAGGATGGCCATCAGCAATGCCAAACCCAATTCCAAGGATGGGAGGGTGGTGCCTAAGGCTTGTGGCCTGAGAACCACAAGGGTCAGAGTGGGCAGGGAAAGGTCAAGAGAGACTGTGACCAATACCTTCCACTAACTTCCACCCCCAAATGGAAATATTTTCCCTACTTTGTTTTAAAATTTGAACTGATTACAGAAAAGTTTCAAAACAGTATATAGTTCTCACCAATCTTCCTCTGATGTTAATTTGCTTGAAAATTACTTTACAAAATAATGCATTTCATTATGATATTTTCATGTACTTTGATCATATTTAACCCCCATCACCCTCTCTTGCCCCCCTTCTGCTTCCCTGAAACATTAATGTCTTTTTGTTACATATTCCCTTTTTGAAGAGGTATAGGAGGGTGTCACCTGGGTGAGTCCCATGAACTTGCTGATGTTTTCTGACAGAAATATCATGTCACCATCTTGAGTTACCACGGCAATGAAACCCTCCAAGGCTTTCAGGTACAAGTTATCCATTTGCTGGTCAGCCTCCGCTTCAGATTCATTTTCAGAGCAAACTGGAAAGAGAGTAAGATTGGGCAGCTTGCGTGAATGTGGTGTAAGACACATGTGACTGGAGGGATTTATAGCTGCCAGGTATGGCTTGAGGGCATCAAATGGGCTTTTCTGGAAATGTACACTGCCAGCTGTCTTCCACATGCCTAAGCATCAGGGCATTAGATAAGCAACACTATACAGGACACCCTGATGGGCTCGTGGACAGAGTGGCTACAGTGAAAACCAGTAGTAAGAGCAGTAGTAGAAGTCATAGATACAATAGTCAGTAGTGGCAGAAACAGAAATTTTAGCTGCTAATGTACATTGAGCTACATTAGTATGCATTAATGCACTAAGCATTCTATGAAGTCTTTCCCAATGACTCTCATTTTACAGATGAGGCATAGAAGGGTTAAGCCATTTGCCCAAGGTTGTAAAGGCTAGAAATATAGCAAGCTCCAGAAGCTGAATCCAGAAGCCACATTCAACTATTTATAGACTTTGGAGTCAAACAGTTTCTATTCTTTGTTCTATTTGGCTATGACTTTGGGTAAGTAACAACTTCTCTGAACATCAGTTTTCTCATTAGCAAAGTAGGGACAATACTTTCCATTTCTTTGAATAGTAAAGATTAAATAAATACATAAAATGTTTAAAACAGTATCAACATTGTGAATTCTTTCCCCCATCTGCTCAAAGATACTGTCACTGTCCTCAGATTGCTCAAAGTCTAGATGGGAACTGTATAGCACACAGAGATGCAATGCTTAAAAAACCCACAAAAGCATCATAGCTGGGCACCCAAGGAGGGGTCAGAGGAGGAAGTTTTTGTTTTTTGTTTTTTGTTTTTGTGACAAGCAGAGATGACTATTCCAAAGAGGGGGGATTTGAGGAGATTCATAAAAAAAGATTTCACTCTTTTGAGTGAAAGGATGAAAAGAGAAGGGCTTTCCAAGCTGAAAAGGGTTGGGAAGACCCTGGAAAACATATGAAGTGGGCTCCCTTCCAGGACTGAGCAGGCCTATATGGCTGAAGAGGAGGATCCATGTCCCAATCTCAGAGATGAGGAAGGCTCAGTGTCCTGGAGAGGGTTTAAGAGCAAAGAAGGCAGAACTGAAATCACTGCTTTGAGATTTATCTGACAGTAGATGCAGAAGGGTTTCGAGCAGAAGCCCAGAGGTGCAGAGTGAGGGAGGCTACCACTGTAATGGCCGGTGAAGAGCTGGTTGCTAGGGGTAGCTTAGGAAAACATCTACCCAAACCATCTACTTTGAGTACTCTGGCTTATCAGGTAGAGCTCTGCTACCTGAAAAATGTAAACTCAGCTCTTGTCCCAGACAAAAGAACTCACAGGCCCCAGGCCCTTCATTGCTATCCTCAGACCACAGACTTTATTTCACATACATTTCTCCTGGATCCTTATTTAACTCCAAACATATACATACTGTATTCATCCAGCACGAGTATCAGTCCAAAAATGCCTTTCTTGATTTACAGGACAAGAAGTTTAGAGAACAGCTTCTCACTTACAATAGTTAATATTCACTAACCAAATGGAGATTCTTGTAGGTTTAATTTACAGGTCACTTGGCAAGGGGCACCATCAATGCTGTGCAGCACAGATGAATGGGCTTTCTTCAAGGGCACTGTATTAATTTTTCATTTCTGCTTTTCCACGAGCCCTTAAAAATGTAAGTTCAAGAAGAACAGATCCAAATGAAGAGATGCTCCTACCAATGAACTTCAATGGTACCACTGAGACCAGCCACCTTTCAGGACATAGGCCCAGAGAACATGCTGCAGTCCCATTGCTGCCATCTCTAAAGAGGAACAGAGCAGGGCCTATGCAGGGACAGGTTGGCCTTTAGAGTCAAGAGTTGTGCTATACAGAGCGGTCTCCTGTGGCCTTCCCTCCTTTTACCAAAATGGTGGTACACAATTAGGAAGTTCCTTCCCTCCAGACCCTTGTCCAGACAGCTATCCTACAAAGTAGAAAACCATCATTCCCCACTTAGGGTGTCCACTGACTTATCTTTTCTTTGCCAGCTAACTGATGAGGACTTCTTAGTCAGCTGGACTGATGAGGGTGAGCGCACATTCCAGGAGACCTGCAGCTGCTATTGTTAGCTCCCCCACGTAACATCCACATTTAAAAAGGGGCTTTAGGAAAGATGGTGAGGTAGCTCAGTTTATCTGGATGGGGGGCTGAAATGAAGATTTTTGAGCTGCCATATAATTTCTGGGCCCTAGAGCAAAGTAAAAATATAGGACCTCTTGTTGAAAAACTAAGCTAAGGCCCTTCCAACTGTGCAATCTTCCAAGACTGTACAAGTTCAATGGTACCACTGAGCACCAGCTCTTGGAGGGGGTCTCACCCCTAGAATTCCTGGTTCAGTAGAAATGTACATTACTACCAAGCACTCAGGTGACGTTGAAGCTGTTCTCCTAGGACCACACACTGAAGACCATTGCCTTAACTCCAGGGCCCTTAAGTGACTCCAGTGCTTGGAATCAGGCCAGTTCTGGCAGGAGGCGCCTGATCTGGGGATTGGGTAAGGAAAGGTTTTCTAGCACCATTTAAGTCACACCAGGTAAACGGTCACCTGCTCCAGACAAGCAGAGGCCAGCCCTGTGGCCTACTGAGAAGATATTTTCTCTTCAATTACTTTGATCTCAGTGGTAACACTGACTTCAAAATCTGGAGTAAGCCCAAGACAACCTATTTGGGTTAACTAGGCCCAGAGGAAATAGTTCTGCTTAAAATTTCCTGTTTTTAACAGGTCCAATGCAGCCAAACAGGCTTTCACTGGGCCCAATGCACTTGTTTCCAGGAGGTGGCGAAGTTGGGTATGGTGGCTAGTCACTGGCCTAGACTTCGAAGGGAAGGAGGGAGAGGGGTGTTCTGGGGGCATGAAGGGAAAGAACATCTTGGAACTGAAGTCACAATAGTTGGAGGGCCAGGAAGCCAGCAGACTGCCCCCAGGGACCCCGGGGCAGCAAGGCTCAGGCGGGGCCTCTTCCTTTGGTGGAACTATTTGCTCTCGCAGCACCTGCTTATCCTCCTGGGACTTCTAAGGAACCTAGCCTGATCACTCCCAGCCTGGAGCCTGGAGTCAGACCCTCCCCTGTGGGCTAGGATGCTCATGTCACGTGTGCTGGAGTCCTCTGCCTTTTCCCTGTGAATATTCATCAGGTCTTTCCTGACAGGTGGCACGTATCCAACTTGGTGCTGGGCACAGGGCAAGACACACTTGATGAGTGCACCATCACTAAGCTTCCACTGTGTGTCTGCACTGTGCTGGGTACAAAGAAATCTGTTCAAAAGTGCCTCCTCCTATGTGCACAGTCCTGTCATAGGGAGAATCAGAGATACTCAAAGGATAAGATCAATCCTGTCCCTCAAGGAATTGACAGATTGGTAGGGGAACACAAAGACAGACAACTGTAAGGTTACACAATAATTGAGAATAAACTCTTGGTGTAGAATAAGGTGAGGAGTGAGCCCACAGTAGGTGCTCAGTAAGGAACCTACTAGATCTTTCAATTATCTTGGGTCTTAGTTACTTGCTTCCTAGGACCCTTTGGAGTCCAACCCCAGAAAAGAGGGGCAGAGGTGTAAAGCAGAGTCACTGTTCCCAGGCCAATGCTCAGTCTGGGAAGCACAACGAGATTCTTTAATGCTAAAAATAGTCCCAGTAAACAGGCTTTGATGACTCCCCACAGCCAGGATACAAGCAGCCAAGGTTTTGGAGCACTTTTTCCGGAGCACTGCTCATTTCCTTTGGGCAGTACCACCCATGTGGGGCGGAATGCCATGGGCAGTGGGAGCTGGGCATCTGGGGTGAGTGGGCAGGTGGCAGAACAGGTAGCTTCTGACTGGTCTCTGAGACCAGTGTCCCAATGGTGCTGCTGGTCAGGATGCTGGCTAAAATCTTAGCCCACAATAGTCATTCTCCCTCTGTAGTTCCTTCTCTGACTGTTCCAGGACTACTCTGACTGTTCTTAAAACTACTAATATGGTCTTCCTTAGTCAGATGTGCTTGGCACTTAGTTATTATCACAGGGTCTTTCCTTTCAAGGGCTTTGACTAAACTTGTTCTCCCTTCTCCCCTCCTAGTACCTAGACCCACCAGGGCTGCCTCCAGTCTCTGCCTATATGCTGATAACAAACATGGTGCCAGTCAAGCCACAAGGAAAGGAGTTTGGGATCACCTGTTGGATCATTAGGTATACCTTAAGCCAAGATGGGCAGGATGGGGCTGTCTCACACATTTGGCAGAAGGATCTGTCCAGATGATCTTGCCGGGCTCCTGCAGAGCCCCAGAAGTCCACCACTGGAGATTCATGCCTTTGTTCTTTCAATATCTGCTTATCCTATTGCCCTGTGTATTACCCTGCGTCAAGTGTAGCACAGGGCTGGGTTCAGCAAATACCTGTCGGCTGACTAGACTTTTCTGGTTTAAGGGAATGACCTGAACCAAGGTCACTATTTCTAGAAGAGACTGTACATTAGCTGCTCTCAGTCATTAACATCCTTGCATGAATCAGATTGTTGGATTCTTTCCAAACAGGACAGAAAAAGGCCTTGATTTGGAGTGTGGGTGGGGCAATGGGTGGGACAGTGAAAAGGTTGGGGTGAGAGCCAGGGAAAACAAGTCTGAAAGTGGGGCATAAGAAGGCACCAAAACCCACATCGGTTGCCACAGTTTTGCTTTCCTTGTCACTTTTCCTGCATGGAAAGGTCACAGTCAAAACTTTAAAATCACTTGTCCCACATTTTAATGCCTCTTTTCTTCGCAGTGTAGAGATCAGGAAATCATAATCTCTTGCGAACGCTATGTCTTCACTAAGCAAATGCCATGAATCAAAAATAAGCCTGACATTTCTCTCTAGAAACATTGCTTCATGTTCATCTCCAGCTCTGATTTTACCAGGTATGAGTTTGGGGACATCCAAATTAATTTTAGACTGAAAAGTATATTTTGGACATGAACTGGTTATTTAATGTCTTCAGAATGCAGAAGTGACCCTTCTTCAGTCATGGCTCATATGGCTTGTCTAGAAAGAGGATTTAAGACAATCAAGTGGTATTTCCACCGATGTTCCCGTCAGAGTGTGCTCTGTCCTCAGCCCAGCGTGGAAGCAGATATCATAAAGCCATTGTTTCAGTTTGCTTCCTGTGATATGAATCTCAATTGGCAGCCCCAACCCACAGCCTAAATTTCTCAATGTTGAGGTTTCCTCTCCAACATTCCCACACACAACAGCCTACTGTGAAAATCAAAGGGAAGCATGTTACTAAGTAAAGAAGAACCTTTTCTAAAGCCAAACCTGGTATTTTTTAGCCTTTTGAACTCTGAGGTATGTAACTAGCTATTTCCTATTATAAAGTAAGCCAAAATTGGTGCTGTTCACCTTTGTCAGAAATGCTTAAATAATGAATTTGTGGTGTGTTTTGACTTGAAAAATATGGCAATTTGTGTGTGTGTGTGGAGAGGGAGATGGAATGCAGGGCCTTGTACATGCTAGACAAGTGTTCCACCACTGAGCTACATGCCCAGCCCAATGTAGCTCAGGCTGGCCTTTAACTTTTTTTTTTTTTTTTTTGACAGTACTGAGGTTTGTTTTCAGGGCCTCATGCTTGCTAGGCAGGTGCTCTACCACTTCAGCATCCCACCAGCCAGTCTTTAACTTTTGACTTTCCTACCTCTGCCTCCTAAATGCTGGGATTACAGCCCTGCACAACTTTACATTTTGATAGAAACTGCTGGAAGGTAGGTAAGAGGATAGTAAGGATTTGCCCCGAGTTTTCTTTTACATCATTTCTTCAAAAGCCTATTCTTATTACTTGTTCATAATAATTCCTATTTCTAAACTATAACTTATTGAGCATATCATCTTTATCCTCTAGCAACACTATAGGTAAGTACCATAATTCTCTATATTCAGAAGAGAAAAATAAGATTTAAAAAGGGAAAGAAATGCTTACAAAGTTGCAAGAGAAAAGACAGAAACTCCAATGCAGGGCTATCTGTTCACAAGTCTTATACTCCTTTTCATTATGGTATACATATTTTAAAAAGCAAAGCATGATTTAAAAAGAAAAAGAGGCTGTCTGGCATACAATTTCTGAAAACAGCTTCAACAACTGGTCCACAGAATGTATGGCAATATCCTGGAAGAGGAGATAGAAAAGGGAGGGCTGAGAGGCCATCTTGTCCTCCCCTAGGCTGTGCTCATTTTATGAGAACTTCTTCAAGGACAATAGGAGCAGATGGCCCAAAGTAGAAACATTGTATCATTTCTTACATTTCTTTTGTTGGGACAGAGATGTTCAGAGTTGACATGCTGAGGGCTCTGGTGGTGCTGGGGCTGGGGCTGGCCAGAGGGCGGGCAGTCTGTGTTCACAAAGCTCAATAGTTACTTAGCCAGAGTCGGAGTGTGTGATGTCTGGCTGAGGCCTCTCTGGTCCTGTCTCTGTGGATACATCTAGCATACTGTGGTTCACACCACACACACCCAGGCAGGTATGCTCAGAGAGCCTAACTTCCTACTCAGGCCCTCTTAGTTACCTGGCTTTGATTTTGGTTTCCTCCCTAAGATCCACTGGCCCTTGTCAACATCTCTAACTGACCAGGTTTGTAGAATCCTGCAAATCCATATCTGTCTTTCTCAGCTTTCCAAGAAGGCAGGTGTCTTCAAAGGGAAGAAGTACAGGTACCCTGAGACAAAGGCTCTAGGAGCCTTTCCTTTATCCAGAACCACAGCCTTGCAGGGCTTCCACCTGTGGTTACCTTAGTCTGCAGCAGTGGTGACTGTGCATCTGCCACTGCCTTGCTGTTTGCACACCGTCTTTGCCTTGCTGCTCTCTTCTATCTGCTCTTTTCTGAGACAGCATGTTCAGCCCATTCATCTTGCAGCACAGGCTTCAGCTCTTGGGTCCCTGAGCGGTCATCCTCTTCTCTCATATCCTTCCTGTGCTCAAGACCCAGAATAGCACAGGCTGGTCTGGCCTCCCTGCCTCACACTGGATTCTCTCTACTTAGGGTTTTTTTTTTTTTTTTCCCAGAATAGCCACCTCATAACAGGATGGCAGAACTAACCCGTCTCCACGGTACCATGCTTACTCAGGAAAGCTGAAAATGAGTTGCAAAATCCCTTTCCCTCTGACTGCCTCCCTCACTTATCACTTCAGATACTGCTCACCTATAGCACCCAACTGGCAGCTACACACTGCTCAGTTTCCTTACAGAACTAACAAATTTAGACAAGATTGTCATATAGGATCTGAAAATGGAAAACTTCTCAGGTTGCCTCTTCCTGGTCAAGACTAACAGGAAATGGTTTCTGAAGAATGTAACTCTCTGAGGAAAGAACATTTTTGAGGACTGTGGGTTGCAGAGATCCTAGGGAGGGTAAGAATGCTTGGGTTTGCTGGGGAGGGGTGATGCTTGGGGCATCCCTAGTAGGAGCTCCCTAGTAGAAATGAGCACAGCTAAGCTATCGTCTCTGTAAATTCTCACAGATATCCTCTGCAGTCAGCATGTTTAAAACCCCATTTTACAGGTGAGGAAAGGTTCTGAGAGACCAAATGATCTGCCTGGCCTAACTGGTTTAAAAGAGGAAAAAGACTGAATGGGCACGCCATTTCTGCTGGTTGGAAGACAAGAATAAAACTCTTCCAGCAGATTCAACCTAGTGTGGAACAGGGGATCTAGATGCAACAGAATTGGCCATCAACAAAACCTGTTCTTGGTTCTCTCGGGCCCCCTCTGTCTTCCTTGCTTCCAGGTGCCCTTGCTTTGGCTCAGTGCTATCCTTGCCTTCCTCCTAGGCTACACTCATTACAAAAGCCGTTGCTGGAGAGGAGATGTTTAACATGAAGGAACAAAGCACTGGTGATGGCCTTTCTGTGGGTGGACATTTGTAGAGCAGGTGTCTAGGTGGAAGGCCTCACATCTCTGGCAGCAGGGGGTGGGCAATGTTTGTAGGGACATGTTGGTAAGGCTGCCGCCTGCGTCAGCCTAGGGAATCTGCTAGCCTCACCTGAGGACAGGAGCTTGTGTGTTCGCAGGAAGCTGATAGCCAGTCGCATGATGGAGGCCTTGTCCAGGTGGGAGCTTACGCTGTGAGGCAGGGGTAGCTCATGGGCCAGCTCGTAGAAGACCTCAGTCTCCTTGCTGCGTCGACACCTTGCAGCATCTCGGGACTTCTCCTTCCTCCTCTCTGAGCTGCTCCTAAATTGAGAGACAAGGGGTTAGTCTCTAAAATGTCACTGTCATCCTATTGCACTCCTGGTCAAGACATGCCTGTGGCCACTCTAAACCACCGTGTGGCCAACTCTGCCACTGAACTGATCTGGGCTCACACTAGTTGTTTGAGCCATGCACCAGTTGCTCTAAGCTGTTTTCTATACTTTTGTATGTGCTCATGTCTTCTTAGATGCCTTTCTCTGGCATTTCTGTTACGTCCAGAACAGGGCTTCAAGTGGTGGGGTTCAGCACAGATTTGCTGATTAATTAACTGGCAATGTCTTGGACCTGTCTTGGGTTATCTGGGGGCAGGGGTCAATGTCCAAGGCATAGAAAAGGAAGGGCGAAGAAGTTATGGTCAGTGGCTCAGATGACTCACTCTGTTGAAAGCTCTGAAGAAGATGAAAACCTGCTTCAAGTTTCTCTTTTTCTGTATAAGATGGACTCAGAAAAAAATTAAGCCCAGTGCTGGACCTTAGGTCCCATTTCATATCAGAGTGTGAGTTCTACAGTAGAGACTAAAAACACCAGTATAGCCCAAGAAGAACAATTAGTCAGACGCCTCCAGCTGCAGTCCTAAAGTGCAAGCCTGTCAAGAGTTACCAGCCCATCTTGTATTCTTTTTTTCTCTTTGTTACAGCAAAGATGACACACACAAAACATGCCTTTTTGGGTAAGTTCTAAAGAAATCCTGGATCTTATTATAAGCCTGTGTCAAGTTCTAATACAAGCAAGTAAAGCAAGAATGTCTGGGTTGGAATCCTAACTTCTCTGCTCGTTAGCTCAGTAAGGTAAAATTAAATGTGCTTAGCCCCTGTTTGCTCATTTGTAAGAAGGGAATGATAGTGTACCCACCACACAGAGTTATTGTGAGGACTAAATATGATATTTATGTAAAATTTTTAGCACCAGGCCTATCTAGCTGTAAGAAATCAATAATTAGCTAATATTAATTTTAAAATCTGTTCATAAAAAGATGGTCATGAGAATAAAAAAGTTACCATATAGTACAAGACCATCCTATTTTCATAGAAATTAGGTATTATACATAATAATTCCTACACATTATATAGGAAAAGTCTAGAAATATAATTAATAACTATTCTTACAGCAATCACACATATAGTGCTTAACATATTCCAGGTACCATTTTAAGCAGTACTATGTTTGCTTCTTTGTACAACTATCCTCGGAAGAAGTATTGTTATTATTATGATTATAAATGTCCTAATTACAGATGAGGGAAACATTCTATATTAGCTAAATAATTCATCTGTAGCCACTCGACAATAAATGGGGAAGTAGTGCTTTGCCTGAACAAGAGGGCCCCAGTATCGGGGCCCTTAGCCATCAATGACTGTCTTTCCCTCTACTCAAAACTGATAGCAGTTGCAGGGTAGTGAGGTTAGGGGAGGTTTTTATTCTCTAGTGATTATCTGTATTTTTTCATGTTTCTATAAATAGCTTACATTGCTTGTTTAACAAAGAAATAACGTTTGTTTTTTATTTTTGTGAAAAGTGTCCAGTGCAATTTGGGGCTCTCAAGGCCTTCAATCCGACCACCTCCGGCTTGCTCAGTACCCTGCCTTGTGAGATTGCCAGAGCTAGGGACTGCCTCTCCCTTTGTTTGGCTTTGCAGTCGCCTGTTATCTGGACAGAAAATCGGTATTTTGGGATTCATGGAATGTTGACACGCCTTGCAAACCCCTCAAGATTTGGGGCAGAAGCACTGTTTTGACTTTATAACATACTTCATTTACAAAGACAGAACGTCCAGCTCCCTGGGTGGATTACGCATGCTATACTCAGACTGTGGAAGGAATCCTCCAACAGCTGTTGACGGTCAAGAAGAACCTTCAGAGAAATTGTGAAATGAGTGAAATTGTTTTTCTTCGCCTGTCTCCCTTGTCTGTTTTCTTTGTACTACCCTGTTTTCTCCTCACTCCTTGATTCCACTTCCCTGAACCCCACACCCATCTTCCCTCTCAGAACCTTCCCGTCAGGCAATTTTGCTTTTGTTACCAGACTTTAGTTTCTCAAATTTGCATCTTAATCCTGACCTATGATGGAGGGGGTTGGAGATGCTAAAGGTTTGCAGGCACTCTGGCACAGGAAAGGAAGGAGGAAAGCAGGACAGGCTATTAACACTGGACACATCACACTTTTGGGCATAGGACTCAGGTAAGAGATGTTCGATTCCATTCTCCACTAACCCTTGGAGTCCCTGACAACAGCATGACATAACCTCATCATGAGGGGCATCTAAAGAAGACATCCTGGGGCAAAGAGGTCCCAGCATAGGTTATGACATTAGCAACAACTACTCACACAAAGCTTCCCTTTGCCTTTGCCCTTGCCTTAGAGAAGAAGAGCCCTCAAGGCAAAGGAAGAGCCAGGTAGGGAAAAGGCAATCTAGAGTGAGTGCTGTTTTATAACAGCATTAGAGAGCTGAGTCCTGCCCACAAACACTACTGACCCTACTTGTATGTCTACACTGCACCAAGAACAGTGCATGCATTTATTATCTCATCGTCTTACCAACAAAACGTGGTAGGTATTATTTGCACAATTTATAGATGTGGAAATTGAGGCTCACACTAATATGTCATTTGCCCACGGTCACAAAGCCAATGCCTCTATAAGCCCTTGGAGTCAATGAGCAGACACTTAGAAGTCCTGAGAAGCAAACTCCCTAATTCCATTCTTGCAACCATGTAAGTAAGAAGGACAAGTCAGACATTGCCATCGTCCCCTACTTCAGAGACTTGGAAACAGACCCAACCAGGTTAAGCTACTCGCCTAGGGCAATCAGCTAATTAGTACCAGAACTATGGACTAGAACCTAACTTTTTCTGGGGCAATACTCTTTTTATTGCTTTATTGTAGGAGACAGTGGCTTTAGCAAGAAATAAACAGCAACATTTTACTTTTAGAAAAAGAACGATTGAGAACATTAGTCAGCCTCTTGGTTTAAAAGTTGTGCGTTCCATTTTAGCTACCTTGTTTTTACTGTTGCACTCTAGGACTAGCATGCTTTTAATTTGATTATCTAGTTAATCTTGACATAGCCCAGGGAGATGTCTTCCTAATGTTGACTCTTTGAGAAACAGACAAAAATCTTTAACACTGTAATCATTTAATTAGCAACACTGAAGAACAAGAATAATTAACACTAAGGTGTAGGTAAGACATCCCCAAGCCTAACCAGTGCATGTATACTCTACTTCCTCCCACAACTGATCATGGGTAGGGGCTGGAAGTTAGACAAGTTGGGGTTTTAATATGTTAGCCACAGTATTATCTAGTGACTGGTTTTGGAGAGGAAATACATTCCCAAGACTCTGATATCCTTACCTGTAAAACAGGAAGAATCCAGTGTCTTTATTTGTCAGAATCAAATGGGATAAATGCAGAAAGCTCTCAAATGAAAATCACTGTGGCAAATATTCAAGAACCACTGTCTGGCTCACCTGGGCTTTGTCACATTCAGACTCTGGCTACAACACCTGTTCTTCATCACCACATAGGCTGTCTCTGGGATGGAAAGGGCTGATCCTGACCAGTTTCTTGTATCATGTTCTTAGACCAATGAGGTGTTTCATTTCCTAAACTATTTGCCCTTTCTTTTTTCTTCCTAGATGAGTCCTAGAATTAACCACAATAAGTCAGATTTCTTCTTTTTTTTTAAAGTCATAATCCTAAAATTTGCATATTAGAATTCTTTGGTTTTTCTTAGAAGGATATCCTAAATTTTTTTAAATCATTAGAAAACATTCATAAATTTCTTATTCCAAATTGCTTTTTTTTCTCCTAAGTTCCTCTTCCTGTCCCTCTTGGTGGCTCTCTTTCTCCCACATGATGGCCCTGCATAGGATGTGAGTTCTGAGGCACATAGCCTAAATGTAGTCCTGGATTACTATGTACTAGTGCAGACCCAGAAGTGTTTCCAAGTTCTATGCTGGACCCTGTGGTCGCTGGACAGTGAACGAGGCACACCACCCTGTTCTCCACGAGTATGCACTCTAGTGAGGGAGCCAGCAAGCTGCCTCCTTTCAGCACCGGAATAAGCATAGGCAATACACATGAGAGGGAGTTCTACAAAATTGTATCACCAAGGAAGGGAAGGCTATTCAGGGAGGCAGACTTCAGCTGAACCAGAAAGATAAATAGCAACGCCTTTGTAATGTTTTAGGGGTTTGGAAAGCACTTTTAAAGTACAGGTAGTAGCTTATTTGATTCTCGTGAGTACCTTGAAAGATAGAAACTATTATCCTTATTTAATAGAGAGGTAATAAAGATTTAGAGATTAAATCATTTGCTAAAAGATAGCAAAGGCTTTGCTATTGGCAGCAAGGAAACTCTTCACTGCACAATTTTGACATGCCCAGTGCTGTGTTAGATACTTCCCCACAAATTGGATATTTGCCCATATTATGGGGAACAGAGGATTAAGATTTGAAAAAGATACGGTGGCAAAAGTTCCTAGGAACAGGGACAGATTTGTCCTTAAACAAGCATCCACATGCCTTAGGAAAAGACCTAGACCCTTAGGAATAGGATTAGGAACCAATATCTGAGTTCAAATGGGTCCGAAGAGGAAGAAGGGGAGGCAAAGCAGTGGGCCTTAGCAGACACAGCCCCCTGCTGCTGTAGGACTGGTGTGTGCTGGGATGTTATCACACGTGACCCCACAGTGCTCTGTAAAAACAACCCTGCAGCAATGACTAATCATACTGCAGTTGGAGAATAAGCAGTTTTTGATTTGGGTGTTGCTTTTTTGTTTGTTTTAATATGCACAAACTTATATATACTCTTCTCAAGTTGGAAACCCCACATGATTCTGAAAGACTTGATCTTGACTACAGAAAGCAACTACTTCAGTATAGGAAGTCAGTCAAACGATAAAAAAAAAAAAAAAAAGAGGACCAGGCACACTAGCTGATACCTATAATCCCAGTTAATTGGGATTGCAGTTTGAGGAAAGC